GAAGACAAAGCATTCAAGTGCATTTTATTGCTAAATTGATGAGAATGCTTTCATCTTTTGAGTCCTTTCAGATGCTGCTTAGAAATACTATAAATAGACACCTTTAAGATCATTTGTACACACATTTTGAATATATAAAACATCTTTGAGAGGTTGCTTTCATTCTTGTTCTCTTGTAGAACTTTATCAACTTCAAGATTGTCTTGTAGTCTTCATCCATTCCCTTTTGTTATAGCGTTGGTTCCTAGCTCATCTATAGCTAGTGGGTCGCATTCCATATCCTACCACTTCGTCTCCACCTTTATTATATCATTGGTTCCTAACTCATATATAGTTAGAGGATCACAATCCATCCTTTTAATTACTATCATTTTCCATGCCAACCATAAACATCATTCACCATTTTCGTTACATCCATTCAACCATTATCACCACCACACTTCTTTCATTTACAATCCACTTCAACTTCATCATATAATTTCCATTACTTTCATATACATACTTCTATTACTTTCATATACATACTTCTATTACTTTCATATACATAGATATATATATTTCCCTTCTTGTAACGTTGTTTGTACATTTTTAATCTTCAATTAAAGCACTGCGAAGTTTTGACTAGAATCACGAACGGGCACACTCATATATGACGCAGAACACATAATCGATATCATATCATTTGGTATCAGAGCGAGCCAATTTAGTAAACATATCATTTTCTCTCCCGGGTTAGTAAAAAAATTAAAAAAAATTAAAAAAAGAAAGGAAAAGTTTAAAGAGGGATGGAGTAATTCTTTTCATTTTTAAAGAAAAATAACATTTACTTCATCTTTATATTCCATTATTCAATTTCGTTACCTTTACTTACCATCTCTTTTCCTGGTAGCCAATTTCTTTTCACTATCATTGCTACCAAGCCACAATTGTTTCAGCCGAAGTCCACTAAACACTTGTAAGCCTTGAGCAAGTTCTCAAAGAACTTGAAAAGAAAAGCAAGAGTGAAAAAAGGCACGAGAACACATTAAGGGTAAAAGTCATTCCGAGTGAAACTCGAGTGGAGTGACTTTCCTTGGAGTGTATTGGTGAGTTTTGTTAGTGAGGATTTAAATCTTGTTATTTATTAACTATGTCTCAACAATCGAGAGACAATTCTCATGTTTCAGGAAAATGTGATAGCAAAAGTAACGGTGTTGCACCTAAATTACAAACGCAAACAATGGTTCGTGAGTTGTCAAGATTGTGGAGGGAAGAATTGAGAACCATTTCAAGAGAAAGAAATGTTGTAAAGCGTCTTCCGAGTTTCATCTCTAGCTCGAGTCAAAGACCAAGAAAAGATGATGTAGTTTCTCAATCGAGGAAGTACATGTTAAAAGAGAAGACTACTCCAACTAAATGCAACATTACATCCAGATTTTAGATGCTATCATTTCTTTGGAAAAGGACACACCTAGTCAATGTCCTAATCGGAGTGCTACAAAGTCTAAAGTTGTCGCCAATCATCAACCAAAAGAAGAAATCAAAGTAGAGGCGAAAGAAAAAGTTGATCCGAGACAAGATGAGAGAAAAGATGCAATAAACAAGAGAGAAATAATATTCGAGGATGTTTCAGAACACAACAACAAGAATATCACTTTGGATAATAACACTCATATATGACTCGGAACATATAATCGAGATCATAACATTTTTTTCGTTTTTTCCTCATTCCCCTTTTATTTTAGTTTGAGTGCTCCTTTATTTTTTTAAACTGAACCCCTCTCCCCTCAATCCTCTTCTTTTCTCTTTTTCTTTGTTTTCTCCCCCACCGAATCCTCCTCCCATCTATTTTTGAATCCCATGTTGCTTCTTAAAAATAGTTGTTGGTAGCTTGATTTGGTGAAGATAGGGACAGAGAGTGGTTGGCGGAGGCATGGGGGCATTAATCATCCTGGATTTTCGGAATTTAATCCCCTTTTTTATGGTTTTGGTTGGATATTTATTTTTATTGATTTGCCTTATTTGATTTACTGTAGATGACAGTGTGTAGTTGAAATTGCGACTGGATCATCAGGAACGGGTGTCCGAAACAGTGGTGGCGACATTGGCTTTTTCTCGTCGACTGGAAACCCTAGGTGTTTAGCTCAACTGGGCTAGAGCTTGGGCTTCACTATTGGGCTTCAATTTGGGCCCACTGGGTCACTTGGGCCAGTTAATGTAATTTGGGCCCGATTGGACTTGTAAAGTCTGTAACCTGAAAAACAAAATAATAATAACAAAATAAATAATACTAATATTAATATTAAAATTAATATACCGGATAAAACGGATGTCTACACAGGGTTTTAGAGGCACTAAAAAGACAGGAAGTGCAAGAGACAACTGACAATATGGTGATAATGAAATCTAAATAAGCAGTCGCTAACTAATATCAGTAACTTGTACGCTGAAATGTTGCTTAAAATCTAAATAAGAATCCAGGATATATGAATATTCTTCTATGCTAAACCAGACTATATTTTGTTACAATTTACGAGTATAATTATAATAGCAAGTATATATATATATTGGTTAAGCTAAGGTGACTACAAAGTAGTATATGTTCTAAACACTCAACAATTTACCTATAAACGTTCAATCACCCTATTATAACTGTTAGTGTTCAAACCCATGACCTCTAGGAACAACAACGAATCATTAAACCACTGAGATAAATTGATTTGTGTGTATATTATATATTTAGATTTAATATAAGTCTGTTATAATATTCTTAATCAGATTTCAAATTCTAAATTAGATAAGTAAAAGGGTTAAATTGATCGTAGAATTTAAAATAATAAGATTAAATTTTAGAAGTCTTTGACTATTCAAGTTGTTCAAATATTGATATAATTAAAAAGGATAAAAAATTAAAATCAATAAATAATTTATACTACATTATATAAAAAAATCTCAATGAATTGTCACGTTAGAAGCTTGAAAATTATTTAAGTGTAAGACTGAAGGTCAATTTTAAAAACGATGGATTTTTTTGCTAGTTAAAATCTCTTGATATATATATTTGTTATTAGTTACGATCACCATAAATATCTCTTAACCACGATTAAGAAAAATGACCAAGCTCTATATGATCTCTAATATTAACTTTCGCCTCCCTTTTATGAATCAGTTTCTTTCACGTAGAAACACTGTTCAACTATTGTTATAACATTATTCGTGACTCTTAACCTAAATTAAAAAGTATGAAACGTTAACGATTGATTTAAAAAAATAATTAAATTAAAATACTTAAAGCAAAAGTTTTAAATTTGTTTGGAATTTAAATTATTCTTAAAAAATTAAATAAAAAAATATTTTATAAATTTTTATTATATTAAAATATTATAATTCAAACTTCAACAATGTTAAAATCTTAGAATCAGCCTATAAATAGTGCCAGACAGAGAAGACTTTGACGAGTGATGTGGCTGGTCGGAAGTAAGCGGGTCCAACGGGGCAGCATTTTTCCAAAATTTATTATATCAACTATCACTTTTTGGTTTGTTTTAGCAATTCAATTATTTTTTTTAAATTATACTTATCGTTTAATTTTGATTTTATTTTGATCAGCTGTAGTTATAAAATTAACGTTGATACTGACATATCACCATAAAATAATGACATATCACCTTTGAGAAAAATAAAAGATGTGCGTCAACAATTATGTTGATTTCTTTAAGAGTGAGAACCAAAATATAATGTAAGATATAATTAAAAGAAATAGTTAGATGACTAAAACAGAACAAAAATAATAGTTGAAATACTAAAAGTGTAGTTTAGCCTAAAAATTTGCGGTTCCACTTGATATCATTATCATTCAATTGCCTAACATATGCCGTGTAAACTACGTTCGATGGAAGCCAATAGAAGCCATTTCTTCTTTAAAAGACAAAATATTTAAGTGGTTGAGATGATCTCTTCAATTTCATCCTCTTTCCCATGGTTTGACTCCTTCAATAACTCATATAGGGATGACAAGAAGTCGGATTGGGTCTTGTTTTTTTATTAATTATACCCGACCTAAAATTATATATATATAAACTCAAACTTAACTTGATTAGAAAAATATATATTCTTCACTTAACCCAATTAAAAAATATATAATCTCCACCTGAATCTGACCTGAGATTTTAGAATATAAATTCGATTTGACCCAATCCGACCTAATATAAATAAGTGTTTAATTAAAAAAGCAATAGATAGAGAAGTATTATAATAATTATCCATAAATTTATTTGAAGAAATTATATTATTACCCCCGGTCGGGTCGGGTTGAAGTTTTTTTACTCTCCACCCGAACCTGATCCGACCTCCTTACAAAAATCCGACCTAATCTCATTGTATCATGTCGAAATCCATCAATTTTGGATTAAATTGTCGTCCCTAAGACTAACATATACGTCGCAAGCTACACCTCAGTCTAACGTATGCATGGGGTTAGAAGAGATGCAACCGTTAATTTAGTAGGGTTTTTTTATTCATTACGTGTTTAATGTGAAATTCATTTAAGATTACCCTTCACAAAACTTATAAAATTCAATTCGATTTGGTAATCACAATTTTTAAATTTTTAAATAATTGTAAAAATACTATAATTAGCATATCTGATTAGTTTAGCAGCAAAAATGCATAAAAAAATGTTGATATTATCTTGAAGAGCCTGCTTTAATGTTTAATCTATCCATCATAGAATCTCCTATAGAAAAAATAATATGTTTACTCTTCCAGTCTTCATCCGGTTCAGTCCATCCAGCGCTTGGTAAATCCACAACTGCTAAAAATTTAAAAAAAAATAACTAGGGGACTTTATTCGACTCAACTCATTAAAGTCTTGAATCGAGTTCGAATCGAGTCAAACTTTGACCGAGTTAAATTTGAACTACTCACGAGTTCCTCAACTCATTAAACACCTTTAATCGGTATTTATCATTATTAAATGGTTCATTGACTGTCAAGGTTTCCTTCTATAAATAAACGGCATAGCAGCTTTAATTCCTCTGTACAAAAAATAAAAATATAGACTTCATCATCTTCAGGAAAAAAAAAAATCGATGGCCAAGGTAAAGAGTGCTATAATGATGATGATGATCATGGCTATGGCCATGGCCATGGCCATGGTTGCATCTGCCGCTCCAGGAACTGCTACGTTCTATACTCCACCTTATGTCCGTAAGCATCCATCCATACCGAATGCCTGCAGTTTCTTTTTCTCCATCCTATTGAAAGTTGTCAAAGGATTCATAAAGTCGGGAATATTTTATCTGCTACTCCCGACTTTATAAATCCTTCGATGACTTTCGATAGAGATACAAAATTAACAATATGTGATAATTAACGGGAGTTTATTCGATCTTTGTTTCGTTGACAGCTTCTTCGTGCAATGGATTTCAAAACGACGGGGTTATGATCGCCGCAGCGAGTGACGCTATTTGGAACAACAGGGCGGCCTGCAATACAAATTACCGTGTAAGGTGTACCGGACCCACCAATGCCGGAGTGCCGCAGCCTTGCCGGGGTGACTCGGTTGTCGTGAAAGTTGTGGATTATTGTCCTCCTCCGGGGTGTCGAGGAACCATTGACCTTTCTCAAGAGGCATTTTCCGTAATTGCTGACCCTAACGCTGGCAAAATCAATATCGAGTATGAGCGGTAAGTTTGTAAAGAGAAAAAAAACCTATCATAAGTATGAAGAGAAAATCAAACTTCTGAAGTATGAAGAGAAAATAAAAAACAATGAAATAAAATGAAAATCAAACAAAAGAAATGTAGAATAAAAGAGAAGGAAAGAAACAACAGTGGAGAGGCAAAAAGGAAGGTAAGAAAATGAAATGAAAGTTGAAACTAAAACCTTAAATAATATATATATGATGACATTTTCGTAAGTATTTTAAACTTTATTTTATAATTATACCGGGTCGGGTCAAAATTTTTTTTTTACTCTAAATCAGACTCCGACACTATCTCCTACATAATTCGACTGGACTCGAACTCGATTTTTTTAAAAAAGAGACCTTGTAGGGTCGGGTCAGAACTCGTCAGACTCAGCTCAATTGCCCGTCCCTATGTGTAAGACAATATATGAAGATACTAATTTTTTACCCATATTGATTTATTATTATTATTATTATTATAATTATTATTATTATTATTATTATTATCATTATTATTATTATTATTATTATTAAATATATTAAATACATATAAATAATAATAAAAAATACAAGCCCAATCAACCGGCCCAATTACAAATGGCCCATCACAAACCCTAACAGATTAGGGTTTCTATCTTCCCAGCCGCCTCAGCTTGCTGCCGTTGGATCTGGCAAGATCCAACGGTCCATATGGTTCCAGCAGCAAACCCTAGGGTATAATACCCTAGGGCCACGCGGCCGCCGCATCTGCTCTCGCCGTCTCCACCGCTGCCACGTCCCAACCGAAGGCTCCAGAAGCTCCAACGCCAGCCGTCCACGCCATGGCTATGGGGTGAGTCACCACTGGGAGTCCGGTGACTCACTGAGCCCCGCTCTTCGGACCGGTCCGATGGCCACACCGGTGATGGCTATAAGCCATCACCCCATCTGCGAAAAAAAAGGAAGACAGAGAGAATACAGACCACAACAGAGACAGAGAGATAGAAAACAGAGAGCAAACGTCCCACAACCAGCAACAAACCAAAACAGAGACCAAAAGAAAGGAAAGAAGCTTACCGAGGAAGCCATCGGAACGCTTCAAACTTCACCAAAACCTTCGAAAAACCGAAGGTATTTCTTTAGATTTGCTCCGATCGGGGGCTATTTAGGAAAAAGTAACACCGGAACCGTCCTTAGGACGGTCAGATCTACCCATTAATGTAAAAATAAAATTTTCCGGCCACCGGATGCGGTGGCCGGCGGTGAGGGTCACGGCGGCAGACGGTTGCCGTCCGGTGACCGACTTCCCTCCGGTGAGAGAAGCTAGAGAGAAGAGAGAGCTTTGTTCATTCTCTCTCAGTTAGAGAGAGAATGAAATTTGAAAAATGAAATAGATGGCCCGAAGGGCCGGCTGTCTTGGGCATTAAATAGCCCTTCCCAAACGACGTCGTTTTGGGGAGGGCTATTAGTTTAATTAAAGAATAGTTAAATCATTTCCGCAGCCATCTATATTTGTAAACTTTACATTTTAGTCACTAAATCGAATTTATAATCCTTTTAATTTGATCTCTAAATTTTAATTTTATTTATTTTAGTCCTTTATATTAAAATAATATATTTAGGGTAAATAACAGATTTAGTCCCTTAAATTTAATAAATAATATTTTAATCCATAGTTTATATTTTTAATTTATTTTAATCTTATATTCGAATTTTAGATAAGTTTATTTTAGTCACTAAATTATTAAATAAGAAAATAGCATGTTTAATCCCCGTAATTTTGATTAATTATGAATTAGGTTTTTTAATTTTAATTTTACTATAATTTAGTCATTTATTTTAAACATTTTTAGTATTTTATTGCTTTTAAATATATAGCTCTAATGGTATTTTTATTTTACTTGTTTTATTTTTAAATATTTTTATTAGTATTTATAAATATAATAAATAAATATTTATTTTAAATAAATATCGAAGAAAAGGACAGTCTTAATACAACTGGATGTCCTATTCTGATATTTTAAAATTAAAAATTATAAAAATATTATTTATTTAAATTAATATTTATCAATATCAAAGAAAAGAGCTGTCTTAAGGCACCTAGAAGTCCTTTTCCGATATTTTTAAATATTTTTATATATTTTGAAATAATAGGATTATAAATTAAATATATTTTGAATTTTTAATTTTAATAGAGAGACAATTTATAATTAAAAAGTACCAATTTTGGGCGTTGTAGGGTGTTAATCATTCCCTAAACGTAACCGACCACGAATCCCTCTTATTATTAAAAAGAACGAATTTTTGGTTATAAACGCAGATCAGTTATTTTTTATTGGTGTTTTCTTAAAACTCTTTTAAAAAATAATTTTTAGGTATTCGACCTACCTAACCCAAAAGGTCGATGGCGACTCCCAAATTATTTTCAAAACCATTTATTCACATAAATTTTCCCGCCAAAAATAAATATTTCGTGCCCGGACAAAAACCGGTTACGACAGCTTGGCGACTCCGCTGGGGACCGGTCAAACTTTAAAATCAATTATAAATTGTCTCTATTAATTAAAAATTAAAGTTCATATTTAATTTTTAATTCTTTTTCAAAATTTTATATTTACTTTTATTTTCATAATATTTATATGTTTTATTTTATTTGCAAGTATTTTATTTCATTATTTATTTTCTGTCAAAGGTTTGAGCATTTCTCCTCACACAACAGTTGCATTGCATAACATAAAGCTCTATAATTGAGTTGTCCCTTTTAAGTGGGAGTGAAAGCGACGTCTTCGTGAGAATTTATTCTCCGTGTCAGACCTAGCAAGTAACTTTCGGGGTTCATATACTCTATGTTTTCGTGAGAATTTATTCTCCGTGTCAGGCATAGAGAATGTATCCCCTCGAATTGAACTCGATCCATTTTAGTCTGTGATGGACTAGGATTGAGGGTTAGCAACCCAAGGGGGAACTAACACAGGACAATTCGGGTACCTTTATTCTTAGATCTGAAACCCTGCATAAAAAAACCCTAGAAACTCTTCCGATCTGAAGTCATGCCGAAATTTTGTCCAAATAGGTGTACACACAGGAGAAATGAATTCTACTTTCCTGTTAATTTATTTATTTTCTTTACTGATTAAATTACATGTTTATTTAAATTATTTAAATTTAGAAAAGTATGTTTAAATAAAAATATTTATGTAAATGTTATTATTAAATTCCTTTATTATGTAAACTAATTTATTTTCTTTTTGTGTGTTCTTTATTTTTCTGTTTGCATAGCATCATACAGGATAAAAGGCATTGATCATTGTGTTAATTGTCTCATTGGAAAGCCTTCATCATGGATAAAAAAGGTTCAAATCAAGTAATTCTAAACTCAGAAGTAAGACAGTGGGCTGAGGATTTACAAAGACAAGAAGGAGACAGTCTGCAGGATGATTATGTATCTGACTTAGCCAGTTATGCTCCAGTTTCGCTAAAAAGAAATGATATGCAAGATTTGCGAAGTATTTGGAAAGTTGGATTCAAACAAAAAATTGCAGTTTTATCAGACTTACGGAGACATCCCATATTGCTATATGTTGAAGTTGATGATGAATTACTCAGAGCCCTAATCAATTCTGGAATCCAGGGTACAATTGCTTTACTCTCAATAAAGAGGACTTGGTCCCTACTATTGAAGAGTACACAACTTTGCTACATATCGAAGGGGCTTTGGAGAATCGAATCTATTCAAAGTCAATTAAAACTCAACCATTTCGAGTTAAATTAGCAAAGATTGCCGGGGTACGAGAAGAATGGGTGGCATCCCGTACAAAACAAAAAGGCGAAAGCGAAGGCATTGCTTGGACCAACATTAAAGAACTTATTCAGAGTCATCCAGATATTAAAGTACGATTTGATTTATTTGCTCTGGGTATGTATGGTATGGTCATCTTCCCAAAAGTATTGGGATATGTGTTGAAGCTGCAATGGTAGATTTGTTTGAACAGCTACCGAAAAAGATTAATCCTGTTTCTGCAATCCTAGCAGAGACCTTCAGATCGTTAAATGATTGTAGAAAGCTAGGAGGTGGACGATTCTCAGGGTGTACCCAGTTGTTATATGTTTGGATCCGTAGTCATTTCTGGAGGACAGAAAAGGTTTCATACCGACGTTTTAATACGGATTACTCACCATTAAAAGAATTTCTGGAGCAAGAATGGCCGAAAGAAATTAAGAAAGATATGTGGATTAATGCCTTTCGAAATCTGCAAAGCAATGACATTGTTTGGCGAACCCCATGGCAAATCCAAAGAGAATTCTGTTACAAATGTGGAGATTACAACTGGATAATGCTGCTCGGATTATGGGGAGGAATTGGATATGCACCACTTCTGGTCATAAGACAATATGAAGGTCGTTAATTTGTACCTGTCACTGCTGGATTACATTCGTCTGAGTTCGCATTCCACAACAAAAATTATAAAAGAAATATCATCGAAGCCGTTACAGCTTGGAAAACAACTTTTTGTATCCGAGCTAAAGCAGCAAAAGAAATGCTAACTCCTGATTATGAAGAATGAAGATCAGCCAGAAAAAATGAAAATATTCCTCTACCAGATCAAAATGAGGACATTTCTATGGAATATATCGCATTAAGGTGGTTCCATCAGAGATTGAAATCCTTAGAGCTGAGTTTGAAGCAGAAAGAGAAGGCTGGTCGAAAGAATTAGAGCAAATGAGACAAGATAAAGCTATGTTGGGTGTTGACATTGACTTTCATTCATCACAATGTGTAATGTTGAGAAAAGATAAAGAAAAAGTTGATGATGAATTCAGAGCATTGCAGAAAAATTATCAGGAGTTATATAAATCCCGGAAAGCATCAGGACCAAGCCAGGCAACAATACAAATGACCAGAGAATTGAACATCGAGAAAAGACGAGTTATAGATCTGAAAGGAAAGAATAGCCGTCTACTCAAAAGCCTTGAGAAAGGAAAGCAAAAAATGAAAGATTTTGAGGTTGACAGAAGAGA